TTAAATAATTGTGGTGAAGCAAAATGGTATCTGTCAATCATATATATAGAAATGCAAAAGATTTTTGAATATATGTAACTGAAAATACTTAAATATATTTAGCTCCTTGTTTTTGATACAAAATTTTAAGTATAAAAAATAAATAATAAAATAAAATAAAAAATACCATGCCTCAAGAGACTTGCACTCTTGGGTAATGCTTATTTTGACTAAGGGATGGAACGTATACTCACCTTGCATGGTTTTTCTAATTAAGAAGACGCAGAATGAGTTTTTTCAATTTTCCATACTAAGACTATAGAATTTCTAGATTTATAATTTTTGTGTATCTACAAGATTAAAATTTTTCATTTTAAAGTAAACTTTGCATTTTCTAGTGAAAAATAATAAATAAGTAAAAAAAATGCAATATACATTTTTTGTTTGTATTTTATACATTTTTAATACCAACAAATTCGCACTTGTTATTTATAAAATTTCATTAATTGTTTTTATCTACCAACAAATCCATAAATATTTATCTTTCGTTTATATGTCTTTTGGTATACATAAAAATTATACAAAAATGCAACCGCAATAAAAAAAATATCTAAAATATTTTTCACCTCTGTGGAAAAGTTTTTGAAAATGTATTTTTTATGTTTATTTCTTTTTCATTTATGTAAATTAATTTTTTTTTTTTTGGTAAAAAATATTTTTTGGTAAAAATTGAAATATTCAAATATATTTACTCTTTGATTCCCAAGCTCTTAATTTCTACCATTAACACATAAATTTAAGTTTAACTGTATATAAGCCAAAAAAAAAAAAATTAATTTGAAATAAGAAGATTGCATACATAATCAAGCCCGAATGAAATCAAAAATATTATAATGATATAAAACCTTAAAAGATACAATAAAATAATAAATTTAATCATATTAAGCTTGATAATGAAGCACTATTTTTGAATAAACTTTCCTTCATGGCATAATGTCCAAAATTATTGTTTCTATTGTCGCCGCCTATTTTCCAAGCCCAAAGCAACTGTCATCATGCGAATGCGACTACCGTCACTTCAGATTGCGATAATATTTTTTTTTGTAACCTTTTTTTTTATTTTTGGAGTTAACTGATTTGACCACAATTAAACAAACTGCTGCTGCCACTTTAATCCGCGATTAGATAATTTTAAATCAAAAATATATGAAAATAAAGAAAAAAGTTTTGACATAATTTAATTAATGTTTGTGCACTCAAAAGCAAAAGTGGTGCCACAAATTAATTTTAAACTGCAACAAAATCCAACAAAATAAAGCAGAAAACAATAATAATATAATAATGATAAAAATTATGAAGATTAAATTTTGTAATCCTCATACCTGATGATTATTAACTAAATATATTCATGGATTTAATTTTATTACTTTAATTTATAAATATAGTTTTTTGCATTTTTGATATCATTAGCTTCTATGTGAAAGAAGTTAATGAAAGCGAAAGAAACACCTAGGAGGGTATTTCATGGATCACAAGGATTCAAGACTGGATAAGATAGGATCCATACTGTCTTTCATTAAAGAAATCGGACTTGAAGAAATACTCTAACCCGACAAAGGGGCACAATAGATCTTTCAGGTCGCACTGCACGATCCCTTACTCACTAATAATGTGAAAGATAGACTTATAAGTTGAGTTCAAATACTAGTACTAGTATATAGTTTAAATTCCATTTTATAATTATTTTTAATATGATATTAGTACTGAAGATTAAAATAGCTTTACTAAATGTAGTGAATATGAAATTTAAAATAAAAATATTAGTTAAAAATATTAATTATTTTATAATTATTATTTAAAAAAGCGCACTCTCTCTCTCGTTTGTGTAATTGTGTAAACTATACCAGTCTTTAATATTGCTATATACCCAGTATGGATATTTTCACAAGAAATAGAGTAACTTGAACACTATCACTATAGCCTACTCAATATATATACTTTCTAACTTCTTCCGATTGACATTCAAACTCAATCTGCAACATATTTTATACACATCAATCAATCAATCAATCCAGTACGTTCCCAGGGGAACTTTTTTTTTTTTATACACATAGTATTCTTAAACTCTTACTCTTAGCATATAGTCAGGTAGAATAATTCATTACTGATTACAGGCAGTATTTGTTTGAAAGAATTTAATTACTTATTCTTTGGTCTTTCCTTCTGGAGCAGCAGTTTGAAAACTACTCTTGATTTCACAATAATTATTATAAAATTTGATTACAAATTCATACTAAAGTATTGTATTTATTAATCTAAATATATTCGATCACGCAAATAATTTCTTGTTGTTCTGAAAAAGAAAAAAAAAATATATAAAAGTTTACTAATTTATATTAAAAGTATTACACTTACACAAATGTATTCTAAAATATGGAGTAATATAATATTAAAGTTAATGAGAATTTTAATATTGCTGTCTACGGATTATTCCGATTGACGGTGAAAGCCATAATCGTATAATGAATAATTAAAAACTAATTATGTCAATTTAGTTAGGTTAGTTATACTTATTTATAATTAATGTATAAAGTTAAATTTTTAAATTTAATTAACCTATATAAATAATAATAATAAAAAAGAAATTATTAATACAAAAAATAAGGAAGAAGGTGATTCCTGTCGACTCTGTCTTGAGAAAAAAGAAATATTAAAGTATGTTCTATGCAACTGTCCAACGGTGAGAAGACATAGACTTAACTACCTTAGAAGCGGGATCTTGGTCCCAAATAAAATTAAGTAAAATTAAGACCACAGCAATAACAAGATTTTTAAAATGTCTAGAACTGTTTTAGTTGGGCTTTTCGGCACACAATAGATCTTTTAGGTCGGAGTATATTTATAGCCTATTATTTGATAATAATAATATAAAAAATTGTTATTTAATACAATTGTTGCACTTCCTTGAGTTATCCGTCCATTTACGTGTCAAATATAAGACGTTACATATTATCATAAGAAGCTTCGCTAAACTTAAATAAAATATATACAGAATATTTACTTTTCCTTTATTTTTACTCTTCTTTGTCGAAACTTTACTCAAATCTAATAAATTTTTTTGATGAAGGTTTATTTTTGGTACGAATTTGGGTTGAGTAACCGCTTCAGGTAAAATTCTTGAATATTGTTAGAATTATTTATGACATAATTTAATTGTTCCGTTTAAATTTAAACAGTTTAAGTCTTTATTATAATAAAAATATCACGAATTTTGAATTCTTTTTATCAATGAAATTTGGTCAGTAGCAAAAATTAAAAATTTTTATAAATATTTATTTAAGCAATGATTTGGCCAAAAACGTTTTCGTGCCTAATTTAAGTAAATGTAGTATTTGGAAATATGTTTTTTGTTTTATTTTGATTTAAGTGTGGTAATTTCCTGTTAAAAATTTTCCATTTATACTGTTTTGATTAAAATCAAAACGCATTTTGGCAATTATTTTGGAAAACAAAGCGAACATAAACAAGTTTGTAACCTTGAATTTTAATTGTAAATAAATCTGAAAATCAAACTTTGCAATTTTCTCATTCACAAAAACACGTAAATATAATATTTTTAAAAATTTTTAATAAATAATTTTTTTCTTTCATTTTATGCATTGATTTGTTATACTCATGCACATGCATGTTGTGCTTAAAGTGGGCTCAATAGTTTTGGCCACCACTGTAACAAAAATTTGTCTTGTGTAAAAACATTGTTTAGTTAGTACGAAATTAAAAAGTTGTTAACAACCAAATTCAGTTACATTAGTTATGTCTTAATCCGTTAAAGTTGTTAACAAAATAAACAGTTTTTTTTCTATTTTTAGTTTTAACCTAAAGTTTAAAGAAACAGAAGTAGGCTTTTTATTGGTTGTAAACATTAAAAGCGAACTGCTCTGTGTTTTTACTGCTTCCGAAATTAGGCACGTGGGCCTATAATTTTACACAAAAAACTGTAGTTACGTTTTGAGACAAAACTAAATGTTATCATAACCCGACGACTTGACTTTGGTACTTTTTTGGTCAATGGTCAATGGCAAGGGGTCAGCGGCCGTTTTGCGTTGTGCTCACAATGGCTAATGTCACGAAATATTTAGACGACTTTCCGAGAATTCCATGAATTTACTTAGCTTCGCAGCTGCTTGATAATTGTTTAAAAGCCTATATTTAGTATTAATTAATTTAAAATGAATTTGTTAAACATAATAAATACTAAATTTAAAAATACATGTAATTAAATATATTAAAAAATATTAATTATAAAATATATAATTAAAATTTTAACTAATAATTTATTTTCTATCTTTTACAGGTATGTGTAATAAATATTTGACATGAAAAAATGTATCTTAGCTATATAACAATCGCACTTCGCAGGTAAAATGTTTTTCATTTATTTTATTGTTATATAAAATTATATTAAATTAAAAAATTTAATATTT